CAGTGGTTCGCCCTGGAGCAAGGGAGAGCTCAAAAGGGACCTGATCATAGTAAATGCAAAACTAAAATTAGACACTTGCAAAAGCAGATTTGGATGCAAAAATTAAAAATAACTGCTGGAGTCCCAGGAAGTGGTGTAGAGAACTGAATTGGGAGCCATCACAGGAAGATTATTTCAAGGATGATATGGGCAAATGGGAAAAGAAAGAGAAGTTGAGAATAGCAGCCTAGCCCACAAAGACTCCAAATGCTGTCCCAGGGTACATGGGTATGGCAGATCAAACTGCTGTTGCTGTTAAAATGAAGAAAAAATAAAAATTACCCCAAGGAAGGTAGCTGCAGATATGAAGCCGCTGAAAGGAAGCACGACAGTGGAGAAACTGTTTATATTTAGAAATAAATGGGGATTATGTGGTAAATTGGTTAGACTGTGTGCACCACCAGCTTTTATCCATTGTACATCGGGCACCACCTTGATAAACCTTTACTCTTGCCACCATGGGCATTTAATCAAATTGCCCAGCGGGATGGTAAGGCAAGGATCCAACTGGCACAATCACTACCAGTCCATAAGCTCGAGGAAGATGGAGAGCCTTTAGTAAACTGATAGGGAACCTGCTTGAATGTCATGGACATGAGCAGCAGGACAGGATACCATGCACCAACCAACCATGCCCAGCAGAGCACAGGTACCTCCACGGTCCCTGGCAGCCCGAGGCTGAGTCAGGCTCCTGGGACAGCAGGTGAATTAGGAGAGGTAGTGGCACAAATGCACCCCCACGATTCACACTAAGACTCCATATGGCAAAATGCAGGGGAAGAGGCAATTGACAGAGTTGCTTTCACATTAAGAGACAAACAATATACCTTTACTTGCATCCCACAGGGCTGAGCACCTGCCCTGCTGCACATGCTTGTGTGAGCAAAGGGTTTGAATGATTGTGGGGGACAAAGAAAAGAGACCGCCTTATGTGATGATGTCTGGGGAACTGCAGCTACAGAAGAAGTGCAAGAGAGATACAGCTGAGTTTTAAAATTAATAGACCACACAGTATTTACTGTCAACTTGAATATAGCACAATTAAAACAACCTCAAATTAAATGCCTGGACTCTGAAACTGGTGAAACAAGAAGATGGATAAATGCTAGAAAGGTAAATCTTTCTGTGAAATAAATACTCACTAATCAATCCCAACTCTGAAGAGTGCTGAGAGAATTTAATTTCTTATGGCAGCATATCTATAGCTGTGCCAGTATCTTATAGCAGTGCATCCATCTTTGCTAATAGCAGCAGAGTGTAATGGAAATGACAGGAAAAGAATCGGGGAGGGAGCTGGAGTAAAGACCAAGACAGTGCTTTATCTGACATGAAAGAAGCTGCTTGAAAAGCTTCTGCACTCAAATTCCCAGTTAAAGGAAAGTTATTCATAACAAGAATTTCAACACGAGCTGATACTGTGGGAGCAGTGCTGTTACAGAGAAATAGTGGAGAAAAATGGATACCAGTGGTTGGATCAAAATTTCCTTGGCCATGAGAAAACCTGGTTAGAGGCAGGAGTGATGGAGTTTGAGGCTTTTCCCCTTGACAGTGCAGTCTGCTCCTACTCTGCTCTTACACACAAAGGAAAGAAATGGATATTAATGTGGATATCCTTTGAATGGAAACCAGGAATGAACCAAAGGTATTGCACACTCATTTGATCAAAGAGGAAAAATAACCCAAGACACTCCTATCAGTGGAATGAGGGAACAATTAGTGGGTAAATTAGAGAAAGGATCATGCCAAGAGACTTACAGGTTGTGAGTAGACAACAAAGCCTTCTACCAACATCTCTCTACAGACAGCTACTCTCTGGTAGTAGAACAAAATGCTGGTTGAATAGTGGGGAGAAAAGCAATGGCAAGCACATGGTGGAACACCTATGAATAAAACAGGAGTTCTATTTCTTTTAAACAGGAGCTTAGATAGAGAGTGGGAATTAAATATCTGTAAAGGATGTTAAAGAAATGTGAAGACTACAAACAATACTGAGAAGTAATTTAGTGAGCAAGTAGATAAATTAACTCAGACTTTGTTTACTGCAGCCCCAACCAGGTGTCAGCTAAACAAAGATGGGATGAATAGCGTGGCCAGTTGAATAAGAGCATCCTACATTTCATTATATAGCTCATTATGACAGTCTAAGGTAATTATCATAATGAGCTACATAAAAAAGTGTAGGGTGCTCTGAAAAGAGTGCAAAGAGTTTATACTTGGCCTCAAATGAAGTAAGAAAATAGGACATAAATAAAAATTGCATAAGGTGTGCAAAAGTGGAGTAGTAAAAGAAAGCTGCCAACTCTACTGCACTGGCTAAACTAAAGACTGTGACAAATGCTGCCAAGGGATCACTCCAGTAAACTGTCACAAACCAGTATCTGTTTGCCACAATAAATACCTTTCCTGGGCAGGCTGAGGTTCTTCCACCTAAAAGGAATACAACTGCTGGAACTGTCATAATGCTGTTACAGAAAATGGTTCAGAGGTCTGGAACAGCACCTGAGACAGGATAAGATGAAGAGAGGGGAGGGTTGGGAACGGGGAGATTTTAAGTGAAGAATTCAAGTCTAAATAACTAGCCTGGGGATCAAGCAAGGACTGTATATACCCTATAACCTGCAATCACACAGAATGGTAGAAAGAAATTAGTGAGAATGTTAAAAAGAATCTAAAGACAATTGTAGGACAATATCCAAAATTATGGGTTAAAAAGTTCACCTCACTATCAGTAGCTTTAAAAGCAGTGATAGATCAGGACTGGTTTACAACTCTACTATATTTTGTTTGGATAGCCTGTCTCTTAGTGGCCCTATGTCTAAGAGTCTAAAATATAATGGCAAGATAAAGAAGAAAGCAATGCTCTGGTAGAAGAGGCAACATGAGAAAAATGTTTAAAATGAGAGAGCAAGGATCCAGTTACTATATGGCTTATGAAATAAAGAGCCAAGTAATGTATTTGAAAACAGATAAAAAGGAACAAGGCTTAGAAACAAAGTGAAAGGGGACCTATTAATTTACTAATAAGATAAATCCTCTAAGATATTAAATAGGTGAGGATAATAGTAAATACAAATGGGTTCATGTATTCAGATGTCTCCATAAGGGGCCAAAATATTCTGGAATTTGTCACGAATTTCTGAAGAACAGAAACACTGAAAATGGCCCAGAGAGGAATATCTGGGGCCTGTGCATCCCTAGCCCCTCCACTCAGAGCCTGCCTTAGCTCAGACTCGTGTCTCAAAAGCAAGGAAATGCAATTCTCCTGGTGCTCACCTTCCCCTGGCTGCAGCACATTTATTTGTATGCTTGCATACTAGTGGTGCAGGAAGTCTTGCCTATTTGCTATTTTTTTCAGGACAGATTTTACAGATTTTGCAGCAGATTTTACTACAGCTCCTCAAAAAAGCAGCAGCTGCCAGAGTCAGGGAGCAGCAATGCAAACTCCAAGGCAAGGCAGAGGAGTTGAGGTTTCCCACAGTTGCAAGGATTTCTAAATTGCCTTTTCACTTCATATTAATGAGTTTGATCTTTTTACAAATTGCATTAATTTTAGATATTTAAGAAGGTAGATGATGACTGTGAAGTGCTTTAGAGACCTAGAGATGATCCCCTTCAGACCTTTATGGTCCTGGAAGCCAGACCAGAGAGCAAATGCCTCTGCAGAGAGATTCCCTGCCCAGCCCTGATCAGGAGCCTGGCATTGCTGCAGGGTTTGAAGCACCCTTGCTGCTTTCATGGGCAGCAAGTCAGGAGCTGGACATTACCAAGGGAGAGGAGAAATAACAACCTGAAGACCAGCAAAGTGGCACTGCTCTTGTTAACAAGAGCATAACCCATGCATTAACTATACAGACAAAATTGTTATAGCTTGCCTGCTTGTTTTCTCTTTTTTGTTTGTTTGTTTGGTTTTGGTTTTGGTTTTGTCTGTTTTACTGAAGTCACCAGTAAGATTTTCACGTCTAGATACTAAACTATGGCCTAGCCTGCGTTAGTCTTGCATAGCTTGCTCCAGCTACTTAATCTAATAGTAATATCTAAAGAACCCAAATGAAAAATTGTTACAGCACTTAAGGGAGCCTTGAGAGTTACAGCTCATGATCTGGATCCACCCAGATTGGGAAATCATAGCTGCAGCTTTGGAGAAAGGGCTCTTAAATGACAATAACTGAATTAACTCAGTAGTTTTATCGATTTACAGGAAAATCCAAAGAAAAGGAACAGATTGAGGAAAAGCAGCTAGTCCTGGTATCAGACTGCTGATTTCAGTAATGGCCTTTTAAGCAATTTAGGAGGAATTTAGGAGGAATTTAGGAGGAAGGGTCAAAAAAGAAAAGAAACAGAAAGGACACATTGAAGCAGGCAGGAGACTAAGTACCATCAGTAGCTAAGGAGTTAAAATCTGAGAGAACTGGGGTTAAAGCACATATATGTGGAGGTCTGAAATGGGATAAAGAGTAATGGATTGTAAATTATTATGGCTGAGCCACAGTAGAAGTAACACTGGAGAACAATGTTAGCCGTGTTAATAGCCATAACTTCACTGCCAAGTCTTGCAGTTCTTTAAAGAGGAAATTATAAAAATCATATATCGTGGATAAGGACAGCAAAAGTCGACACAGAAATGTTATAAATGATCATGCAAACAACTCTGTGTAATTCTCCCCTTCACTGTCCCCCACAGCTGTTTAGCAGCCTCCACACATCCCAAGCCCAGCTCTGATACTGCACAGCTGCATAACCTTGGGCCAAACTTCTGAGCAAACCGCTAAGTTATGAGACAGCCTGCAAGAAGATAAGAAGGGCAAAAGCAGGGGGAGGAAAACCAAGAGCTTTGGGTCAGATCAAGCCATTAATATCTACACTGAAAACTGCATGAAACTGGGTTTGAGCATCCAAACCAGATGTTTACCTTCCTTGGAAATGGCCAGCAATAACATTAGTCACACACCTGAGCTACATCAGATGACAGTAATATTAGAATAACTAAGAACAAGACTCATGGAGTTGCTTTGGGGATTAAAAAAAAAGGCAAATTAAATTTTTCTCTCACAGTGCAATAAAAAAAATTATTGCTTCTCTCTTTTTTTTTTCTTTTTAAATACAGTAGATTTTCTCCTCTTCCTTGCACTCAGGATCATAGCCCAGGGCTCTTGTCTTCAACTTTTAAGCTTGGCCATGCTTTTTTGTATCTGCTAAGCCTCTTCCAGCAGTCAATAGAAAAGCTACCCAAAAAGCCAGCAGGCATCGGGTGCGTCCCGCTGCCCTCCTCCGAGCTGGCCCTACATACAAAAGTGGAAAGCTGTTGGGGTCGCGTGGTGACAGGCAGCAGTGCCAGTGTTTGGAGAAGAACAGGTAGGAATTACCAGCTGGGAATTAGGTGAGGGCAGGGCGGGCACTTCGGGGGCTGGGAGGGGACGGAAATGGCTCAGTTCTTGTATTAACTGAGAACATTGAGCGCGTTAATCAGCGAGTGGAGCTCATCCCTTACGCTCTCCAGGGAGTGGCAGATCGTCTGGGGGCTGTCCAGGAGCTCGATGCTGTGGGTGTAGGGCTCGTATTTCACCGAGAAGGGCCGCTTGATGTGCGCCGCGTAGCTCCTGCAAGGGAAGGGGGCGGGAGATGGGTCCCGAGTCTCCCTCCTACTCATCACCATTTACCCAAGAAGATCACCACAGGTTAATGCCTCCTTTAGGCAGAATTTCCACCTTTCCAGCTCCACTGCAGCACTAGTTGAGATCCCTTCTGTTTGTCGAGGAACACCATGAGTTTGACTGTGGCTCTCTGTGGGCTGTACCAAACAGGAGGGTACATCAAACTGGTCATCTCCATGGCCACTGCCAGGCATCCTCTGCTGCCATTCCTTTTTCAGAAAGTCCAAGGAGATTTAGAAGCTAATTGCAGGGGAAACCCATGGTATTATCGTAGTATATTACTAAATCCTTTCTGACATGCATTTATTGACTAATCTCTGCTTGGGGAGGGGGAACTAGCTGTGTGGCATATTGAGGATAAACTTGGCAGGCAGTGGCTCAGACCTGAGCTAGAGGATGAGAATGGTGTCACCAGAGCCTTGTACTTCTGCAAAGCTGTACTGCTGTACCCAAAGCCAAATGCAGCCTGAATCTCAGTGGTGAGCCTGATATCTCTCAAGAGCAAGACCTTGTTGCTGCTTTTCTAATGGAGAAGTATGTGGTCAAGTGAAAGTAAATCAAGGGTAGGGTTTCCCCAGAGTTGCCCGCATTCACTTCCAGCACTAAGATTTGTATACTCGACAAGGTAGGGTTTTTTTTTCATCTGGGGGTTGTGTGACTATGGAGCTGAAAATCTGTTCTTAGGTGCTTATGGGTGCAGTCTCACGCTGGAAAGGCTCGGGAACACGAGGGGACGAGCAGCGCTAACAACAGGCATGCTCCTGTCCTCTGCTGAGGCTTCACCCTTTCGCTCCTGGATTGCTTAGCTTAGGCTACCCTCTTGTGGCTACCGCGGCTCTGCTCTGGCGCAGGGCTCGGGAAGCGCAGCCCTTCCCCAGATGGAGACAGATGTTCCTCCAGCTGGTCCTGCCTGGCTGGGCCGGAAATGGAGGGATCTGGAGGAAAACACAGCAGACAGGGAGCTGCCATGCCATTGCAGGAAAACAACGGGGAAAAAAATCATAAACAAAGGAGGTTTCTGCATACTCACATTGTCTCCCTCCTAAAAGATGTGGTTCCTCTCAGTTCTATCAGGCAAAGTGTTGCTCGCCTCTCTTGTTAATGTTCAGCAGCCACAGCGATGGCTCGTAGCACAGCTGCTAATGGATAGAAACCTGCCCTCCCAAATGGGTGTGCTCACTTGACACCTTGTGAAGCAACTAGATACAGCAGGGCTGCTTGGAAGGGCACTGGGGGAGTGTGTCCTTTCTGAGAAAAGAGGCTTTTCTCCAGGTGTAACACTGATAGTCAGACCCGTGGTGGCAGCTGCCAGTAATGCAAAAGAAACGATGCTTTAATTTTAGCATCTGTGTGGTCTCTGAGCTCTTTAAAGAGGATAATTTACAGTGCTTGTCACAGTCAGGACCTTCTAGCCTAATCTTGAGTGTGTATGTGGTGCATTTTCCCTTTTTAAATGCAATGAAATGACTCGTTAGGCAGCAGTTGGGTTTTTTTAAAGCAGCCGTGTGTGTGTGTGTGTGTGTGTGTGTGTGTGTGTGTGTGTGTGAGCACGGGCTCCCCCGTGCTTGCTTTTGAGCAGCTGGACTCCAGGTTGTATGAACAAGTGCAAGTGAGGGTAATAAAAGCAGAAGTTGAAATATAGCAGTCCTCACCACGTTATTTATATTAAATGCCCCTCTTGCAGGAACTGTAAAGTCATGTATGTCATGTTTGCCTCATCCTTTCTCTTTCCTAAGTGAAGATAAAAGTGTTATAGGCAAAGTTTTCCTCTGTCACTCAAAGCAGTCCAAGGACTGAGCTTTCCTCCTGTGGGCAATTCTGGGTATGACCAAGAAAATGCTCTTCTGAACAGATGTCTGTGGGTAGAGCTGACCCTTACCATTCTGTTTGCAGTCCCATGGGATGGGGAAACCCAATTACCATGGTGGGATGGTATCTGGGGTCCAGTAACAACCTAGGAGGCAAAAGTCCGTCTTTTCCCCTGGATAGATCTATTAATGTCAACCATGTTCCCAGTAGGAACTGGAGAACTGCTTTACTTTAGAAGACCTGATCAGTCTTCAGAGCACTTCTGAGAACTCAGACTGAAAGCAGCCATAATGTCAAGCCCTATTTCAATAGATAACATCCTAATTTCCTATTGTTTGGGTCTCTCTCATTGCCCAGTCCTACCTCAATTTATTTTTGGCATCACTGAAGCTCTCAGACACAAAATAAACAGGTTGATAGTTCTGGTCCTGGTAGGGCTGAACAGCTGCAGCATCAGGGTCGAAGTCCCTCACCTCTGGTTCATCTGACAAGGAGTGCTGTGAACATGGCATAAAAAATCCAGTGTGAAAATAAGGGGATTGGAGAGCACATTTGGGGTATGCAAAGGTGGAGTACAGACTGAGGAAAGACATTATGCAGAAGCAGGAGGTGTTTTTCTCTACAGGGTCTAGGGCAGAGGCAAGTTATGGTAGGACTTACTATGAGCTCGCCGTAGGAAGAGAGGAGCCCAGCTCCGTAGGCTTTGACTATTCCATTCTGTCTGCAGAGCCCAAACTCCACTGTAAACCAGTAAAGCTGTAAAAAGAAAAATAAAAATTCCTGAGGGACACAGCTCCTCATATTAATCCCTCTGTCACTTCTGAGCCTTTACATCATGGCCAGGGTCTGTGGTTGTTTGAAGGAATAGACACCTGCCTCTTTGTCCCCTCTCCACACTTTGCTTTTAGAGAAAAGTGCTAAACTAAGTTGCTGCTACACCAGGACAAAGTCTGTGTCCCTGGGCTTGTTCCATCTGCTGTGAGATGCTGCTGTTTGGTGTCCTTGGAGTAGGACAGGTCACCTTGCTGAGGGAGAGCCAAAGGAAGCAGATGTCATTTAATCCCATCCCAAAGAGTCCCAGCAGTGCTGCTGTTGGAAATACGATGCTTGGTAATACTACTGGTGCCCGAGAAAACTGGGTTAATGTGCAAGCAAGCTCTGCTGTTTAACTGATCTCTGCTCTGCACAGTCATCATGAAAAGAGCATGGGGCAGCTTGGGTGGGAGCTCTGAGCCTGCAAATCTTGGAATACCAAGCTGGACCAGTCTCCTTGATACCACAGAAGCACTGCTGGAGGTGTTCTGCCCCCCATCCAGCAAAGGGGAAAACTTACCGTTGCTAGTTTCTCAATTTCTTCATCAGTTGCTCCCAGAGATGCCAGTCCAATGTCCTAGGAAGAGAAGGGAAGGGACAAACATCAGGACTGAGGGCCTTAAACATTGACTGCTCTGATTTATTGGCTCAAGACCATACATATTGCTGCCCTGCAGTGCCAGGCATCTGCTGGGACATCACTGTGATCAGACTAAAACCACTTTGTTGCAGACCCAGTACTGGGGTCTTGGTCCATCACTAGAACTCTGGAACATCATGGATAATAAGAGCAAGAAAGGTTTAGGTGGCAACCCCGGGGTTTGGATTCCCACCTCTCAGGGGAAGAAAGCAGATGACCACCTTACCTGAGAGAACTGGGCAAACGTCTTGTCGGCCAGCATCGGGACGTGCCCCAGCAGCTCATGACAGCAATCCCTGCCGACGGGAGAGGGGAAAGGAGAAAAACACAGTCAGCAGCAGACAGAGTGTGTCTGCTGGGGAAAAAAAGGCTGATTGCTGGCCAGCTGGGACTCTGTGGGCAGGAGGCCGCGGGGCCGGGCGGTACTCACGGCTCGGGGGAGTGCATGGGCGAGGACGCGTGGCGGATGTACTGCGTGCACTGGAAGACGCGGAAGGCCAGGCTGGCCAGGAAGTCCCGCGCTGACAGCAGGCCGGCCACCGGCCGGAGCTGGAAGCCAGTCCTCTCTGAAACAGCACACACCGACTGCCAGGCTGCAGGCTGCGCCACTGCCCCCAGCACTGGCAGCTAAAGGGTTGCACCAGCCTCATCTGGCTGCTCCTCCCAGGAACAACGCCTGCTCTGCAGGTGCCCAGTGGGATCATTAGCCACAGCCCGCTGTGTATGGCTGCAGGCCCCACCACTTGGGCTCTACCTCTGTCCTCTGTCAGCAATGCCCAAGGCGCCAGCTCTCCTCCTAAATCTCAGCTCACTCTCTACTCCTTTGGGTTCAGGCTTCCCATCTCCAGCTGCCCCCACTGGCAGACTCCAAACCTGGGTTCCCCAGGCTCGTGCTCACCTTTCAGGAAGCGGGAAACCTCCTCCAGCTGAGGGATGTTGTTCTCATTGTAGCCACAGAATTTCTCCAGTAGACTGAAAGCCTCAAGGTACTCCTTGCAGGCATGGGTGGGGTACAAGCTCTTCAGGGTGCTGTACACCTCCTTCCTTCAGGAGGAGAGGTGGCAGACATTCAGTGGTTAATGTGTCCAGTCCTCTCCTGCACTCTGGCTATGCACTATCAGGGACTCAAGTCTTTAGGCTCCGTGTCCTTTTGCCTTTCTCCACCTAAGTCTATGTGTCTGCACATCAATAGAGGTATGTAAACATACAGACACACGTTCAAATAAAGCTGCAAAGCCCCAGTTGTGTCTGCACAGACCTATTTCTGACCTGGAGGTCAGAAGACTGTATAAAAGGTATTAGCTGGAATTAAAATATTCCCAGTAGGTTAACTCCTGAAGCTGCACTGTGAAGACAGTCAATAGAACCAGGGGATGACCTTGCTGAGAAGCCTGTGTACTCAGCTCATGAGTTGAGCTTGTTTTCAGAAACACTCCTGCAGCAACACTCCTGGAAAAAAATCACGTTCAAAGGGAGTGTTTTCCTAAGTGAGGCCTGTGAGGAACCACACAGATATTCACCATGGGCCTCACACTTCTTCCTGCAGCTGTGATAACTGCTTTTTGTTTGGAGGCTGCTACTGAGTCAGGACCCTTAGAGAAGCTGACCTCCAAATTATCTACCTTGCTCTGTGAGAAGGCTCCTTTGGAGGAAACTCCTGGAGGCTGCATCATGAAAGTGTTTTTTATAACAAGCCATTAAGTAGGATTCTTGCACTCCTGACACATTTTTCAAGAGGTCGTGCCCTGAATGTTTGGGGTTTGATTCCCAGCTTCTAGTGGTGAAGCACTAATAGTGAAATCAGCCCTAATAATGAAATCAACACTCACCAGGTAGCTGTCTCCTCCGCCGTGTACTCCACATGAGGGATTGGGTCCCCACTGCAAGGCAAAGGCACCATTACTGAGCAGAGCCCCAGCCAGGCTCCTCTTCCCTATGAGAAGGAAGCACTTTGGAGGAGCTCTGCATGATGTTCATAAATCTTCCTTAAAAACCAAACAAGGGGTGACAGGAAAGACAAAGCTTTAGTACTGGGTCATTTGTACAGGTGCAACAAATACACAGATGCAAAGAAAAAGCATGGGTCTAGTCAGAGATTATGAATGAACAAGGGATGAGCAAGAGTTTAGCAGGTGTAATATTTACCGGGAGGAAAAAATGGGTTTCTCTGGAAAAAAATGAAAGACTTAATGTGTGAAAATAAATTCATTTCATATGTCTGAATTTCAGGCAGTTGATGGCTCCAAGAATGAACTGGTGGCTGACAAATAAAAGTAGCTAATAAGGAAAACTAAACGCATTTGACCAAAATGCATTTTTGACCTTAAATATATTTTTTTGCAGAAAAATATATTGTCAATAAGGTTAAGGATGGCAGGAAAGGAAAATTTCAACATTGATATAAATGGGCATTGATGGAATTACAATTTTTCTTTTTCTCAACATAGTTAGCAATTGTATTTCCTAAATCTTTCTTTTCTATGTCTGGGCAAATGAGATGTTGATATATTGTAAAGCACAATTTCTGAAGGGATGCCTGAAGGGATGCTACACAGTGGCTCGTAATTGTTAACCTGCAGGTGAGATGTTAGAGAAGACCTCTTAAATTGACGCCTCATCTTAGGACGGTATTTAACCCTGTGTCACCTGGGAGCCTTCCTCTGGCACTGTGACTTTCTGTATGTTTAGTATTTGTACAGGATAAAACCATCAATATCCATATTCTGGGCTTCAAATTGGCAAAGTGCATGAGAACAGCAGAAACCCTAGCTGGGATCACACCAGTTGCAGGGGTAGCTCAAACAGGTGACCCATATAATTTCTGTAGTCTGCTTTCAGCTCTTAAAGTCCTGCACAGAGGGAGAATGCTATGGTGAAAGGCAGTATCACTGAATAGGATCTAGGGAATATTTTACAAACTGAACTGAATATCAGACTCTGTTTGATGTTGTAGTGAGCACACTGAGTGCTATCACTGCATGTATAA